TCCCCTCTTCGCCACAATTTTGCTGGTTCTGTTTTTCAGATTGAATTCTGGGACTGCAGTCACTTTTGCCTACCTTTTATCTTTGATTCTAATTTGCTTGGATTAATTGTTTTAACTTCTTGATTAGTGGTCTTTTTTTTGTTTCTACTTATAATTGAGGATATCCCAATACTTTATTCTCATACATATAATGATTGTTTTCCTTCAGAAATTTAAGACATAAACAGGGATATTATTTACCAAATCAAGTTAGCATCAAAGGATGCACTCACTGTCATGAAAATGTTCATGTTTCAGAGTGGGGGAAATCACGTTTCAAACTATAGACATAAAAGCATTTTGAAAATTTAGATTGTGTATGTATTATAGCCTTTAAATCATATAGGAAGTCACTTTTTCAATTAAAAACCATTATTTACACAATTAATAACTTATTCTGTCTTAATTTCTTTCTAACAATTTTTATTAGATAAGAGTAACTGTGTAACATTTTACTATCTAATGGCAGATTCATCCTGAAACAACTTTTATCTTCCAAGTGACTAGACATTCCTTTTCTTTGATGTCATTACTAAAGTCCTTATAGAATTGCATACAGTGTATGTGTCACAAATCACCGTTACAGGAGATTTTTTTCTGTTATTTATAAAAATGAACTATCTCATGCTCATCATTCTTCGTTGATCTGGTTTTATTTCAAGATGTACCTTGTAGAACAATTTTTTTTAAGGTTTTATTTATTTATTTGACAGAGAGAGAGAGAGGGAACACAAGCAGGGGGAGTGGGAGAGGGAGAAGCAGGCTTCCCACGGAGCAGGGAGCCTCATGAGGGGCTCGATCCCAGGACCCAGGGATCATGACCTGAGCCGAAGGCAGACGCTTAACGACTGAGCCACCCAGGCGCCCCTTGTAGAGCAAACTTTAAGTTGTAATTTTCTGTAGGGGAAAAAAAAATCACATAAAACATTTTTGTGTAAGAATACAGTTCTTAACATCTTCAGAAAGAAAATGTGTAAACAATAAATGATTTTTGACTTAATGATTAAAATACACTGCAGGGCGCCTGGGTGGCTCAGTTGGTTAAGACACTACCTTCGGCTCAGGTCATGATCCTGGAGTCCCGGGATCGAGTCCCGCATCGGGCTCCCTGCTCGGCAGGGAGTCTGCTTCTCCCTCTGACCCTCCCC